TGCAAGTATTTCAAATAAATCACATCTCTGGAAACAGTTAAGGATATGGGTTGTTGTAATTTTAAGGTAATGCTAACATTAGCGCAGTATAGGAAAGAAAGGAGGTGTGTGAGAACCAGTTGTAGGACTGACGACCTTATGGTGGTACTGTATTGAAAAACATTTATTATCGCCCTGTATCAACGAAATAAAGTGGCTTCCAAAAATCATAAAAGAACAAAATATTCCCGCCTTCAAATGCCCTAATATGTATGTATAACAAACCCGTCGTATATAACTGTCGTTAAGAAAAGATAGTTATTTATTGAGTAGATGTTTTAATACATATAAATAAATTCGTGCTTTGTAACGCATGATCATTTGTAAACAGGTAAAACATTTCCTGGCAAACTTTGAATCATGACGTTTGCAACACTTTCCAATCGTTACAGTGTTTACTTATGCCGGTCATTCAAGAATATCAAAAGGTCATCTAGAATAATACACCAGCCAGTGCAAAACCGTTTCTTCTACTTCAGTTAATCTCTAATATGTAGGTGTAGACCGCAACAACATTAAGGACTAAATCTTCCTGTCGATAAATTCCTACAGACGTGTATTTTTTTATTAATAAAGGACAGTCTAAAAATTTTAAACATTGACCTCAATAATTGATTTCTCCATAAGAACCTATACATCGAAGACGCCATCAACTTCATTAAAGACAGTACAACTGTAGGGATAGATGTGCAAGGGCAAAAGATAAGTATGCTTAGATTTCCAGATGATATAGCAGTTTTAGCATCCAGCAAGGAGAAGTTAGAGATGGCTTTAAATAAAATGGTAAGCGGTACTGACAGATCACTACTGTATGAAAATAAATAAAAGTAAAACTAAAATACTGGTATGTAAGGGAAGAAAAAGTAGGGAAAGACCAATATAAAGATAGGAGACAAAAAATTAGAAGAAGTGGCTGATTTTAGATATCTAGGAAGTCAGATAAGTCAGGATGGAAGGAGTAATAGGGATATAAAGCAGAGGATAGCGCAGGGTCGTGTCGCCTTTAATAAAAAGAAGTCACTTCTGTGCTCGCAAACGGTTAATTTAGAAATTCGAAAAGGGTTGTTAAAGGTGTATGTTTGGAGCGCGGCGTTGTGCGGGTGCGAAACATGGACAGTGGGCGCGGCGGAAAAGAAAAGGTTAGAAGCGTTCGAAATGTGGTGTTATAGGCGGATGATGAGGATATCGTGGGTAGAAAAGGTTAGAAATGAAGTGGTATTAGAAAGAATAGGAGAACAGAGGACTCTATGTAAGTCAATAAAAAATAGGCGAGATAGGTTGGTAGGACACCTTCTTAGGCATGAAGGTCTAGTCAAACAGGAGTTAGGAGGGGTAGAGGTAGACCTAGATTAGATTACTGTTCGCAAATAGTTAAGGATGTGGGATGTTCTAGTTTTAGGGAAATGCAAAGTTTAGCTCAGGATACGAAATAGTGGAGGTACGTGTCCAACCAGTCTTAGGACTGACGACCTTATGATAGTGATGAAGAACCAATATACATAATACATATTCTGTTAATAAAAAATACTATGCGTTTACGAACCATAAATCGTTACAAAACCAAAAACTGGCTCCTGAAGCCGTAATGTAATCAAAATTGTATTGTGTACAACATTATTCTAGTTGTAATAATTCCATCACATCATCTAGAAGTATGCAACACAGAAAAGGAAACGGCCGATGACGCGGGTTGGGATAGATAAATGCTAATAAAAATCTACCAAAAAACCAAAGATTGAGCAACAAATTTATGGGTTCTTTGTATATGTAGCTACCTACCTAATAAAAATAGTTTATACATTTTAAAGGCTATGTTTAAAACGGTTTAGCTAATAAAAAAATTAGAAACACTAGTTTTTATGTTCGTTTCTTAATCTTCACATCCCATACTTTTGAGTTTCAAAATAAGTTATGAACCATTAAAGGAAGTCCCAGTAATACACATTCCTACGAAAAACATTCAAAACATGCCCATGCCCATGCCCATGAATATTATTATAACCAATCAATGAATATTGTTTTCTACTGTGTACGTCATAAAAATATGAAAATTTAATGGAAATTATTTCTTTTCTTAAAAAAACACCGACACGAATTCTTTTAGATAACCTGTTTCCGTTGTTCTTCTTTTAAGATGTTAGAAAGTCTAAAAATATTTTGATGCATAGAAGGTACTTTGATTTTGTATTGAAATGACTAAAAACCATGAGAAGATTCTAATTACGTCTAATGGAAAATTTTTCTATGTAATGTACACAGTCTGTAGAAATGTACAATACAGTACAAGCTAGGTCTCAGAGTTATATGTACCTATTGGACCACATTTCCCGATTCCACATCTTAACTATTTCCGAACACTATACATCCATTTTCAGAGCGTCGGAAAATATGTCCTGGTTTGGTTTTTTATTTTGAACATATTAAAAATAAAAGAGTGATCGCAAAAATAGGCTAGAAATCGCCCATTTTGTAAACCTCAAATTTTGTTTTGAACCAAATGCCAACTTGTTTATAAATGATAAAAACAAAATTTTAAGATGAGCATGTTTGACTTCTGAGATATGTGGTATGCTTGATACAATATAGGAGGATTTCGAAAAATGCATGCGATATTGCCAATATTTTTCAACGCAGAATGTAAATATAATATCGAAAAATCTGTACATTCATTAGTATATCCGATTGATGCCAAAGGCATCCTCTAATATGGGAAAAATGATGGTGTTGCAATTGGGCAACCTTCATAAATCCATATCACAACTTCAGTTGCTAGTATAATTTTCTAATGATATTGTAGTGAAATAGTGAAACAAATCCAAGTGTTGTTATTTCATGAATTATAATTTTGTATTCAATATTATTACTTACTTACAATTAGTTTAAAACAAAATTTGAAGATCTGCATTATAAATTTTGTATATATACGTCTATAACTATGAAAATTACGAAAATAAGTTTAACTGCACAAACTAGTTCTGTTGGTGTATTAAATTACTCAATTACTATTGCTTTTTTCCAGTTGTGAATCGGTTGCATTATTTAATTCCAGTTATTTATCCTAGTGCTAGTATCAAACTATTTTGTGGTACAGGACACAGTTATGAGGACGGCCCTCTCCGAATGCCGATTAGCCGCAGAAGAAGAATCGGGATCATGAGCTTCTTACATAATTGCCTCGTTACCATAACCACCACCTCATTCCTTAGCGTAGGTGTACCATTAACACGATTACATCGCATCGCTTCCTGATCATACGGAACGATTCATAAACAAGACCGCTATGTAACAACCGTACCAAGAATAATAATACCTTCGATACCTTTGTGGTATACGTACCCAAGTAACATACCGTGGCAGTACCGTTTTAATTGAATGAAATATATTACCTATACGCTTATACGATAGGTAACATTAAATGTTAAAGTGCCATGAACAATGTTTTATAATACACTTCAATTACAGACGTTAGTGACGATCAGAAATAAAACACAATGTTATTAATAATCAATCGTAAAAAACACGGCCATAATCCACCATTGACCATTGAAAGAAAGCATGAAATTGCCATTTTTAGGCACAAAAAACTATTACTTGTTTCTTAAGAAAGGATGTTGAATTCGCTTTTTTATCAGTGACTTAATAACAATTTCATCGACAAAATTCGACATCGAGCGAAATGTTATTAAGTTCCAAAATTTTTCGTGTCTAGAAATTTATCAGGTGATAACAGAAATTAGTTACTTATTACTATTTTCCGTGGGGAAAAAATCTAGACCGGAAATTATATACAAATAATATTTAAATCCAAATGTTGCAAGGACTAAGAAAACTATCGCAAGTAAGTAAGTTACTCCATTTTATTTTGAATTAAAATTGTAGACAATTTGATTTTATTCATCTAGGTACAAGGAATTTAAATCTTAAAGAAAATAAAGAAAATAGATAAACGAAGATAGAATGTTTATGGAAAAAACACTGTATAGTTTACATCCAGTATTTCTTAATTAATTTATAATTTATGACAAATGGAAATTTCTTCTAAAATTGCGTAAATATTGAAAATAAATAATTAAATAAGCTGAAAGTAATACAAATTTTATATTCTAATTATAATAGAATTCCTCGAAAAAAGAATACGTATTAATTATTATTTTCAGTAACATTCTTTGTTTTATAGAAGTTGGTCCACTTGCTGTTTACGCAATATCTTTGTCAAGAATGTTGATCTTTAATATAACAGTTGAAGGTAGGCTATATGACAAGGGAAATGTTACGGCAAAGTTGATGTTATTACGGTGAAATTTTAATGAATGAAAAAATAACATTGATTTATAAAATAATTAATATCAAATCGAAAGTAATCTTATGAATATTAATGAAACATATGTACGAGTTGCTGAAATTTCAAACGCGTATCTAGGAAGTCTAAAAATTGTAAATGTGACACTTAATTAACTCAAAAACAGATGAAGTAGGGAGGGAATTTTATTATTGCAAAATCAGTTCGCGATTACTTAATAAAAAAACCGCAACAAATAAGCAAAACGCAAAAAAAAGCAAATGCTTGAAACAGTCTACAACTATTATAGAAATTACTCTTAACTAATTAGACATCGGCATCTTGAATAATATTATCTCAAAACATACGTGGTTGTATGTTTACTTTTTATTTTCGCATAGTACAGTTATCCTACCACTCACACTTAACGTTTTCTATTAAATTTCCGCAAGTAAAAGTGATTTAAGTGGTGATCTTATAAGAAATCCTTGTAATCATATCAACGCAGATATAATTTGCATATTTTTGCATTAGCGGAACATTTCTTTAAACCGCAGGGGTCGCATACTCTCAACCGATTTCCTCACCTTTGTATATCCATATGTAATACGTGTATATAAGGTAGCTAAAGGTTATCATTTACGTAAATTATTTGTTATAACAAAAAAGTCGCGATAAACCCACAACAGCATAAATACATATACTGACATGCGGATATTTTACTAAATTCAATGACAGTATTTTACAAGACAATAGGAATTTTATTCCAAAAGTCTTTTTTTATATAAATACAGTTATTGAAAGAATAAATTAGTGTTGAAGAAAATGAAGAAACATAAACCCAAAGAAGTGAACTGTTACATTGCGGTACATTTCAAGGTGTTTAGGTATGTAGCACATTGTATGTACCTATAAAATTCATCTATTATAATTAAATTGCTACCTATAATAAAATTAAAAGAAAATGCATTTAAATATTTTAATTATTTTTAATAATATATCTAAAACATCCCACGTCTTTAACTATTTGTAAACAATAATGTACTCCTTTTATCTCCTGTTTCTGCTTCTAATATGTCTCTGACTAGTCCTTCATGTCTGAAAGGGTGTCTTACGAACCTATCCAACCTATTTTTTATTGACATCTATAAAGTCTTCTGTTCTTCTATTTTCTTAAATGAATGTTTTTATTGCTTGTGAAAAGTGAACAGTGAAATGAGAAAGTTTTAGAAAAGGAAGAAGAACAGAGGGCGCCATAGAAGAGCAGATCTATATTAGAATGATATGAAACCATTTAAGATATGAGAGGCCTAGGGACATACTAGAAACAAAAGTAGGAGTAAAAAGGGACAGAGAAAGTCCTAGATTAGATTACTGTTTACAATTAATTGTTCTAATTTTCGGAAAACATGAAGATTGAGTCAAGATATATAGGAAGCAATCGAGGTGCGAATGCCAGATTAACGACCATGTGGAATCTCTTAAAAATATTCTATTTTTATGACAAAATGAACTTGCTAAAAAGAAAGTAAAAAAACACCTTGCATTTCAATAAAACGCTGATCAGGGACGTAATGTTGTTTATCCATTACTTATTATATGTTTAGGTATTTGATTGTAAAGTGTTTTGTGTTTAGACTTTCAATTTGTTATTATACATTTTTAACTCGTTCATCAATGAAAGTAACTTCATGATTTTTTCTTTACAGCTTTCAAGTCTAATTAGCTACACATTAGGTAGAAAGTACGTGCCCAACTATAATTTTTATCGCTTAATTCACACAAAAGTTACATTACTTACTTTCTTACACAATTCATTTCGTTTGAATAATAACGCTGTAACAATTTGTCTTTTACGACTAATTTAAAGCTCGAATACAACCTGACACTGGCAATGAAATGCCAATGACACTGCCAGCTAAGAACAAGAGAAAATGAACTTTCTGAATGTTACTTACTTTACTATACTCAAGCACTAACTGGTGTTAAACATATGTTTAATATATAGTAAATAATTGCTACTACTGCTACTACTATTACTACTTAGCCACAAACATTGCAAATAATTTGTGTGCACGATTTTTCCATTAAAAAGTCATTTTTCAAATTATTACACAAGTGCATGTGTTTTCTAAAAAGAATTATCAGCGAATTTCATTACAACACATTAATAACATTGTGTCTGTCTGTGGCTTAAAGGCAATTTAAAACAGCAACATTTAGTAAACACAAGTTGGAAGTGTTTGTAAACATTTAAAAAATATATTAAAATTCTTATTCT